CTGCTGCTGCTGCTGCTGCTGCTGCTGCTGCTGACGTATGTGGCGACCCTCCTTTCACAGCTGAAATATAAAACCCTAAACCCCCGGCATTCCCCACTAAACCCTAAACCCTAGACGCCACCTGTATAGTGATCTTCTGCTCCTCATATCGCTGCAGCAACAGCAGCAGCAACAGCAGCAGCAGCAGCAGCAGCAGCAGCAGCAGCAGCAGAGATCGCCATGCATTGCAGAGGTCTTTGTCTTCTTTCTTCTTCTCTTGCTCGCCTCCTCTTCTCCTCCTTCTCCTCCTCATTGCAGCCTAAGAAGACACCTCGAGCAGCAGCAGCAGCAGCAGCAGCAGCAGCAACGGCAGCAGCAACAGCAGCAGCAGCAGCAGCAGCAGCAGGATGCGCAGCAGCAGCATAATAGCCTTTTCAGAAGGGGCTTTGAGCCGTTCTTCTTCCGTGGGTCCCTTCCCCCCCAAGTACACCACATACGACAGCAGCAGCTACAGCAACAGCAGCAGCAGCAGCAGCAGCAGCAGCAGCAGCAGTTGCTGCAGCAATGTATGCAGGAGGATATGCAGCAGCATCGACTGGCTGCTGACGGAGTGTCTATGCCCCCCCTTTGACTTGTCTTTCCAGCAGCGGCTGCGGCAGCAGCAGCGGTTTCTGCTGCTGTTTTTTACTCTTAGTGCTGTTGCTGCTGCCTATCCTTTTGTTTTTCTTTCGGTTATAGAGGCCCACTATCCAGACATAAGACCTGTACATCTCCCCAAGGCTCTAACAGCAGCAGCAGCAGCAGCAGCAGCAGCAGCAGCAGCAGATACAGACGCAGATACACCTGATGCTACAACAACACCCGCAGCAACAGCAGCAGCAACACCTGCTGCAGCAGCAGCACCAGCAGCAAATGAAGCAGCAGGCAGACACAAGTTCCTAACCAGGCAAGGCATCAACGATTCTACCGATGCAGCAGCAGCAGCAGCAGCAGCAGCAGNGCAGCAGCAGCAGCAGCAGCAGCAGCAGATGCAGCAGCAGCAGCGGAAGAAGAGGAATCAGATGCAGCAGCAGACGGCGAAGCATTGGCAGCAACTTCTGCTGCTGATGAAGAACAAACAGCAGCAGCAGCAGCAGCAACAACAGACGAAGCAGCAGCAGCTGAATCTCGCCCAGCAGCAGATGCCTCAAGAGCAGCAGCAGATACAGATGCAGATGCAGCAGCAGCAGCAGCAGCAGCAGCAGCAGCAGCAGCAGCAAGAGGCGCATCATCGATGTCTTTAATAACATTTGTTGCCCCCAAGACAGAGCATCTATATAGTTTAGATAGAGGTTTATTATATTGTTTATTATTTTGGGGTTTGCTGCTGCTGCTGCCGTGTCTGTCGCTGCTGCTGCTGCTGACGGTTGCTGCTTCTGACGGGCATGACTGCGCTGGGCGTATTGCTGCTGCTGCTGCTCGGTGGCTGTCTTGGAGCTGCTGCTGCTGCTCTCCTGTTATGGGTGTTCTTGCTGCACTGAATGTTCTCTCTTTCTTTGCTGCTGCACCGCAGCAGCAGCAGCAGCTAGCTGCTCTCGCCTGGGCCCAGCTAGCCATCAGCATCCTCATACATCTCCCCCTCGGCGTCCATGCAGCCAACGTGCTGCGGCTCTTTGAAGCTGCTGCTGCGCTGCAGCTGCTGCAGCACGCCATAGGAGCACATGCGCACCCTGCAGCAGCAGCAGCAGCAACAAAAACAACAGCAGCAGCAGCGACAGCACCGCCCTCGAGGCGGGCTTCGCAGTTAGCAAAGCAGCAGCAGCAGCAGCAGCAGCAGGCTTCAGACCCGATCGGAGAAAGGCGCTATCCGAGCAGGACCAGCAACAGCAGCAGCAACAACAGCAGCAGCAATAGCAACAGCAGCAGCAGCAGCAGCATGCTGCAATCCTTTTTAGTTAGAGGCCCCGGGGCTTCTGGGGATGCTGGGGAGGAGACGGAGAGAGACCCTCTCCTCTCTAGATCCAGTAGCTAGCTAGCTTCCATCTAGCTAGCTATTGGGTTTGCCTGGCTAGCTAGCTAGCCAGCTAGCTAGCTAGCTAGCTAGCTTGCATCTAGCTAGCTACTGGGTTTGCCTTGCTAGCTAGCTAGCTAGCTAGCTAGCTAGCTAGGTAGGCAGTTGCATACCTGAGTAGCTAGCTAGGCGGCTGGCTAGCTAGATGGCCAGTTAGCTACCTGGCTAGCTATCTACCTGGCTAGCTAGCTGTTCCTTCTCTAGCTAGCCACCGAGAGTAGCACCGCGGCATGGCTGTGGCTGCTCGCCGCTCTCCTGGCACTCCAAGCTCCCTCGCTAGCTAGCTAGCTAGCCACCTAGCTAGCTAGCTAGCTAGCTAGCTAGCTGGCTAGCTAGCTGGCTAGCTAGCTGGCTAGCTAGCTAGCTAGCTAGCTGCTTGGTTTACTAGGCAGCAGCCGCTGCAGCCAGGAGATACTGCCAGCGCCACGGTGCTGCAGCGGGCCCTTGAACAACGAACCCTTATAAGCTTTAGATATAGTTTTGATGCAGCAGCAGCAGCAGCAGCAGCAGCAGCAGAAGCAGCAGCAGCAGCAGCAGCAGAAGCAGCAGCAGCAGCAGCAGCAGAAGCAGCAGCAGCAGCAGAAGCCAATAGGAAAAGCAGCAGCACCTAGTAGCACCTAGTCAGCAGCAGTAGCAGCAGCAGCAGCAGCAGCAGCAAACTCTAGGGGCCTGTGCTGCTGGAGGCTTGGCCTTGTCAACTACAAAGAGATACATACACAGACAGCAGCAGCAGCAGCATTAGCAGCAGCAGCAGAAGCAGCAGCAACAGCAGCAGGAGTTGAAACAGCGACAAAACACAAAGTAGAGTAGCAATAGTAATAGTAATAGTAGCAGCAGCAGCAGCAGCAGCAGCAGCAGCAGCAGCAACAGCAGCAGCAGATACAACACGGTTTAATATTAAGGAGACAAAGTCCAAACAAAAGTGCCTAGGGGCTGTCTTCTTGGGGGGGCGGACTAGCTGCTGCTGCTGCTGCTGCTGCTGTTTTGATGTCTTGTCGCAGCTGCAGCAGCAGCTGCTGCTGCGGCAGCTCTCCCTCCCAGGCCCGCCGCAAAAACTGTTCGCTGTCTGCGTGAGAAGCAGCATCATCAGGGCTACCACCTGGCTGCTGCTGCTGCTGCTGCTGCTGCTGTTGCTGCTGCTGCTGCTGCTGCTGCGCATGCAGTCGCCGCCGGTGGCTCGGCAGCCTGTCGTTTATCACTGAATAAGGAGTGGGGGGCAGCGCAGCAGCGCGGGCGAACTCATCACTGCTGCTGTTGCTGCTGCTGCTGCTGCTGCTGCTGTTTCTCCTGTTGCTGCTGCGTTGCCTCCTTGCTGTTCTGCTCGTGTCGCTCAATGTTCCCCTTCTCCTGCGGTTTCGGCTGCTGCTGCTGCTGCTGCTGCTGCTGCTGCTGCTGCTGCTGTCGCTGCTCTCGTGTCGCCTTCCGCTTCTGGAGCTCGTCGAGCGGCGTCGAGACACCTGAAGCAGCAACTGCTGCTGCTCTTGCTGCTGCTGCTGCTGCTGCTGCTGCTGCTGCTGCTGCTGCTGTATGCTGCTATTTGCCGGGTCAGCGGCGAAGAGCCCGGTGAGAGCGCTGTCGCGCCAGAGACTGCCTTCATCTTTCTTATCACTGCTGCTGCTGCTGCTGCTGCTGCTGCTGCTGTTTTCGTTGCTGTTGTAGTTGCTGCTGGTGCTGTTTTTCTTCCTGATGCTGCTGCTGCTGCTGCTGCTGCTGCTGTCAAATATCTCTGGGTGCATCTGCCTAAACGGGAGGTGACTGCTGCGCCGAGGAGGCGAAGAGACTACGCTGCTGCTGCTGCTGCTGCTGCTGCTGCTGTTGCTGCTGCTGTTGCTTGTGGGTGTTCTAGGGGAGTGTTGTAAAGCTTCTGCATGCCCTGAAGCTGTAGGAGCAGCAGCAGCAGCAGCAGCAGCAACAGCAGTTGCTGCTGCTGCTGCTGCTGGTGCTGCTGCTGCTGTATGTGTTGAGTCTTTTATATCCTCCAGGTCTTCTAGGTGAAGCGAAGCAGAGGGGAGAGAAAACCCAGAGACCCACTTTTGCTGCTGCTGCTGCTGCTGCTGCTGCTGCTGTTGCTGCTGCTGTTGCTGTTGCGGGTATGCGTGTATGAGGCGGGGCTGTCGCTGCTGCTCCTGCTGCAGCTGCTGCCGCCACCGCTGCTGCAGCAGCACATCTTCTTCTGCTGCCTGCGAATGAGAAAGGAAGGCCTGGCGAGAGAACGACAGACTCACTGCCTCATCCTGCTGCTGCTGCTGCTGCTGCTGCTGTTGCTGCTGCTGCTGCTCTGAGGCTGAGGGAGATGGCTCGGGCAGAGCTTCTTCAGATGCTTCTGCTGCTGCTGTTGCTGCTGCTGCTGTTGCTGCTGCTGCTGCTGTTGCTGCTGCTGTTGGGGAAGCTGTGTCAAGCCACCGCAGCCTTTGGGGGGCGCGCGAGACATCAGCAGCATCATTCCTCTCACTGCTGCTGCTGCTTCTGCTTCTGCGGCTGCTGCTGCTACTGGTGTTGCTGCTGTCGCTGTTGCTGCTGCTTGGGCGGCTGCTGCTGCTGCTGCTGCTGCTGGTGCTGCTCAGTGAAATAGCACGTCTTCTTCCACCGCGAGCTGGAGGCG